CATGGCAGCGCATTGACCCTCCCAAGAACTCGAGCCACAACGATTCCAATGCTCCTCTTGATTGGCCGTCAGAGGGCTTCATCGGAGAGCGCACAGATCTGATGCTTGGTGGCGCATACAACGTCTCACAAGCAGCAGTCGGAGGCACCAGCAAATTTATGCAAGAGACATTTATTCATAAGAGCATGGAAGTGGGGGCGAGCTCCCTCCTTGACAATATCAACGGATACTACCTGAGAATAAGCAACGATCCGCAATTCTCGCCGGATGTCATGCAGCCACTATACGAGAATGATGACCTCGATGCAACCTTCGAAGCCATCGCCGCGAGCATGAGCAACGCCATTCGTGCACACCAAAACGGCACGCAGAACATCACGGGAGAAGTTGGCACCCCAGTAACGAGATACAGAGTGGAGTGGCCATGGATCATCCTCCCACTGGTAGTCGTCATGGCAAGCCTCCTGCAACTAATCCTCACCATGTTTGAATCTCGACACTACCCGCTCTGGAAGTCGGATGTCCTAGCCGTCCTCTCGCGAGGTCGTCACGTTGGAGACATGTTCGTCGATGCGGAAACTGTCGCGGACATGCGGCAGGCTGCGAGTCACGAGAGAGTCTCTCTACTGAATGACCTCGGAGAACCTACAGAGGAGCATCGCAAGTCATCTGGCAGCAGCTCTGCTTCTACCTTGCCATCTATCTCATGATGCTCAATGAAGCCACGAGTCTACTACGGGATTTCCCGTACTATTAACGAGATTTCGAACTAGACAGATTAATAATTCACGACATTTATACTTTTTAGAGAGGCGAGAAAGATGATACCCTATAGAGGTTATATATAGATAGAATACGCCGAGAAATTACTAGTTGGCGGAACGAATCGTTATATAGTAGATATAGCCTCCTATTACTATTTAACTCTACGCCTGCAATTTTACAATTACTACTTAACGTTAAGCTTATTCTATCGTATAAGACTGGCTACTTACGTATATAGTTCGAACTATACGATGATTCTTCTAGGACCTACTCTAACTTTTACTTGCTTTCCGGCTCGATTCACATTCGCTTTCCGTACAATGCAATCGAACAACCTACTGTATATCTTGCAATAAATCCTTCGCCCTCTCAACAGCGAGGGAAATAGGTAGGCACTTGGATTTCTTCTACTGTAGGTTAGACGAATGATTAGCCCACTGAATCCTTGATTCGTTGTGTTAACCAGTATGTTCTAGATATGGACTTGGACAATGAGAACTATTAGAATGCAGCACAACATCTACATGGAAAAAAGGCCGACTCTTGCGATATCATGCATGGAAATTCTCATTGATCTCATACTTCATCGCGCTCTTCATTCCCCTCGTCTACTTTATCGCAACACGCTTATGCTCGGGATCAAACCCCGGAGTCCGATTCCTCAACCTTCGATACGCCATCGCCTCAGCAAACGCAATTCCAGACACAGAAAACCCAATCACAAACATCGGAATCAAATTCCATTTCCACCCCTCCATAACTCTAACATGACTTTCGATATTCCTGCGATCACTACTGTTCGCGAGTGGGAGTTGGAGAACAGCTTGAAACCAATTCTGCGGCGTCCATTTCTCGAGAGGATACGCGACGTAGTTTGGGTAAGGGTGGTTATTGAGTTGGGATGCGAGTTCGAGGTTGATGGTTTGATTTTGGTGGGCGTTGACGAGGACGAAAGTGTAAATCAACGCTGCGAGTGTGAGGAGTGTTGAGGGTATTGTCATTATAAGCCAGAAGTGGTACCAGGCTTGCGAGAGACTTCGGAGTTTGGCGTTTGGGCGCGAGGCGTGGTGGCGGAGGTATAAGGCTAGGATTCCGCCTAGGCCGATCAGGACGAAGGCTGTGCCTGCTGCGCCGTTGCTGGTGTGGCCTTCGTTGAGGAGGAGATTGGCGGGCTTGCCGTGTAAGGGGAAGGTTGAGTTGTTGTAGGAGATTTGGAAGTCGCGGCCTGCTCGTCGGTGCAGCCAGGAGACCATGCTAGAGATGAAGGAGAGTTCGATTATTGAGTCGATCATGAGGAGGCCGATTGCGAGTTTGAGGGCGAGATTGAGAGGCGCCATGGTGATGTTTCCGAATAACGGTCTGGTAGAGATGAGATCGTGTTGGCCTGAGGTGGCCGACCGCCCTTGATATGTTCTGCTTGATAGGGCTGTGCGGATCCTCCCTTTACAGCTGACGGGCCCGAATCACGAAGCGAGATGTCAAGAGAAGGATGGATGCAAGAGCAGCGCAAGAGTATTCGAAGGCTGAAGTGAAGGCAGATCAGCGAGCAACGTGGCTGCGGGAGGATTTCCCGCAGCTGAACGCCTGAGGCCAGAGACAAAAATAGGGTTGTGTGGATGGCAGTGCGGTGAGACAGCGCAATAGCCAAGTTATCTGCCAATAATAGTGCTTATTCGCTTCTCATGTCGCAACAAAGAGATCTTTGGTGTTCGTATACATCTTGTGTTGCCCTCCATCTTGGTACGGATTGATACACTCGCTGCTGCCGGGTCGAATGGGTCGCTGAAGAGTTGCGACGAAGCTGAAGGAGCGGTTGGCCGGATGAATGCATGCATGAGAGTGGGTGCGTGATGCGAGATTATTCAGTGGCACCACGTCTGCTCTTTGTGATTGACCTGCGGCTGTCTCCACGCAGATGAAGAATGTCGATGTCGATGTCGATGTCGATAGAGATGGAGATGGAGTGCGCTCTCGGTGGAGTGATGCGAATTGAATTGTGCCAAGATGCCAGAAATCGTCTCACAAGCGAGCGACAGAAGCTTGGCCAGACCAGCTGGATTTGTAAAGGGTCGACAAGATTCTGAGGTACGAGTCAACACCAACAAATTTTGGCATTTTCGTGACAACGACGCGAATGCAACATGGCCGACGCGCTCGTCACGTACTTCCGGCAGACATTGCCTCCGGAAGTGGGCAGCCAGGTCGAGTCGCACATCAAGAAGCTCGAGGAAGGTGATCTTGAAGCACTGTTACGAAGCTCAGAGGCCCGCACCATATTCGGTCATGGACATGAGCAGACCGAGAAGCTCGAAAATGTCCAGCGTGATGCCTTTCCAGACTGGAACGACTTCATCTTCCAACGACTGTCGGTGTTTCTGGCCGACAGATCAAGCCAGGACGCCATCACCCGCCAAGCCATCGCATTCTGCATTGGATATGCAGCGTTGTTGGCATTTGTGCAATCGAACGTGACGGGACCTCCGATCACATATCGGCCGGCACATCTCGTCCTACCTCCGACGGTTGGCGATGATGAGCAGGCGAGGAATGCCTCGAAGCAGAAGATGCTGGCAGGATTGACCATGGATGGAGTCGCTGCGTACAAGCTGACGCCTCACATTGAACTCCTATGCCTGTCTGAGGCCATCATGACAACGCCGCCGATCTTGAAGAACATCAAAGCAGCAAGATGGGCCAAGCTCAGAACATCATTCCTCCATCAAAGGCTTTTGTCAGAAGTCTCTTCCACACTGCAGAATGTCATCTACGATGATCTGGATGTCCTCGACACGGAGATCTCATCCCATGGGAAGCCAGATATTCACAATGAGTTTGTACTTGAGAGATCGACGATTCACATCCATCACGGCCTAGACAAGTTCGCTCGAGAAGATTTGGAGAAGGCAAGGCAGGAACGGCATTTTGAGTTTGCTTTGACTGGGCTCCTTGGCAAGCGGACGAAGTTCCAGCAGAAGGATGTCAGTCAGCTGGTCGTGCTTGCCAAGAGCGCAACTGGACATGAGAACGGCCCGCTCACGACCAGTGGCAATGGCAACGAGGTCAAGACTAAGCCTGAGACCCTGGACCTGAACGACGATACTCTGCTTGAAGCCATCTCCTTCTCAGAAAAGCCGAAGGACACTCCTTCCACAGAGATACAATCCATCGATTCTCTCCCTCCATCGCTGAAGGAGCTCGATCCAGCAAATCAACCCCAGCTGCAGCCATTGGATTCTGTGATACTACTCTCCCTAGCCTCTTCAATCAAGAATACTCAGCCCGAAGATGGCTTAACGAGAGAAGAAACACTTCCGTATGCCACGCGAGTGCTCGATGGAGGCAGCTCAAATTGGCAGGTCTATACCCAAGCTCTTCTCGTCCGAAGCAGGATCGAAGGCTTCCGAGCACGAACCACTGAACGTGGCTTGCTGCAGCTTCAGGCTCTGGTCGACCAAGTCGTTGCGGATACCACTCCTGAACGGTCGTCTGGCAAGGAGAATGCAGGAGATTCCACGGCACGGTCTACCTTTCTACCCAAGGCCAAGGAGTCGGAGAGTGCACCTGCTTCGGAGCGCCTTCGATACATCTTTCAGCTGGCTACGCCCACAAGATGGGAGCTTGAGGCTGAGCTGGCCAATCGCTGGGTCCAACTGGGAGGTCTTCGCTCCGCTCTCGACATATATGAGCGTCTTCAAATGTGGGCAGAAGCAGCGCTCTGCTGGGCGGCCACGGAACGAGAGGACAAAGCGAAACGAATTGTGCGACGCCAGCTCTTCCACGCTACTGCCGGAGGACCTGATGTGCCCGAAGACAATGTGGCAGAAGACGAAGAATGGAAAGGTCCAGCTCGATCTCCTCCGCCTCTTGACGCACCCCGCCTCTACTGTATCCTTGGCGATATCGATCAAGATATCTCTTGGTATGAAGAAGCATGGAAGGTGTCCGGCGAACGCTATGCTCGCGCGCAACGTTCCATCGGTCGCTACTTCTATGGCGCTGGACCAAAGAAAGACATGGTCCGCGCAGCAGATGCCTACAGCAAATCTCTCCGCGTGAACCAGCTCAATCATCAGTCCTGGTTCGCACTCGGCTGTGCTCTCCTCGAGCTCGCCGAATTCAACAAAGCAGTCGAAGCCTTCTCCCGCTGCGTCCAGCTCGACGAAACCGACGCAGAAGCCTGGTCCAACCTCGCCGCCGCTCTCCTCCGCACCGACGAAGACGAAAACCAACCCACCGTCGCAGGCGCAGAACCCTCCTCACCCAACCCCAAATCCACAATCTCCAAACGCAACGCCCTCCGCCACGACGCCCTCCAAGCCCTCAAACGCGCCGCCTCCCTAAAACGCGACTCCTACCGAATCTGGGAAAACGTCCTCATCGTCTCCGCCTCCCTCGAACCACCAGACTACCCCACCATCCTCTCAGCCCAACGCCAAATCCTCGTCCTCCGCGGCCCAACCGAAGGAGAAAAAAGCATCGACACACAAATCCTGTCCAAACTCATCAACCACACCATCACCTCTTCGTCCTACGACCCCTCCCAACCCGGCCTCGCACGCATCCTCGTGAAATTCCTCGACGAAAGCGTCATCCCACTCATCACCTCGTCCGCAGAATTATGGCACCTCGTTTCGAAAGTCGCGGGGTGGAGGGACAAACCTTCCGCTGCGTTGGAAGCGGAGGAGAAGGCGTGGAGGGTTGTGACGAGTCGGCCGGGGTGGGAGACGGAGTCGGAAGAGAGATGGGAGGTGGTGGTCGAGGCTACGGTGAGGTTGGTGGAGAGTTATGAGAGGTTTGGGAGCCGGGAAAGGACGGAGGGGATGGGGGCTGGGTCGGGGGAGGTTGTGATGCGGGATTGGAGGTTTAAGGCCAGGAGTGCGGTGAGGGGGATTCTGGGGAGGGGGAGGGAGTGTTGGGAGGGGACGGAGGGGTGGGAGAGGTTGAGGGGGGTTATGGAGGGGTTGAAGGGGTGAGGGGTGGATGGGATGGGATGGGATGTGGCGGGTTGGTGGTCTTTGTAGGTAGGTCAATGTGGCGTGAGCGAGCGAGCCTTCCACGGATCAACGGCAAAGCTGTTTCGAGAGGATACAAATTTCCCGCTCTGGGCTCTTTTCCAGGTATTGAGGCTAAGAAGTAGAGTTAGGACGAGTATATCTTATAGGATCGTGATCGTATCCTTCTCATCTATCCTTCTTCTGTTCTCTTCTCCCTCTCCCCCTTCCCTCGAGAATCTTCCTTCTCTTTAGCCCCTCTTTCCTCCACTTGGCGCGCAGCTTCACCATGTCCTTTGTAAACCGCACAATCCACTGCCGCCCAGCCGTTCTCGGTGCAAAGGTCCAAGTCCGGGCGATCCTCCATCAAGGCCGAGAAGCAGTGCAGATGGTCTTTGTTAAGAGCGATCATCAACGGCGTCCATCCCCGAGAGTCTTGGGCATTGATCTCAGCGCCAAGTTCCAGCAACAACCGGACGACGTCGACATGTCAATTTTCCGAAGCAGAATGAAGTGCTGTCCACAAATTATTCCCAGCAAGATTAATCTCCGGATTCTCCGCGCCCTTTTCGACGCACGGGACATGACCGTCTCGTGCAGCCAGGATAGGATGACCGCAGTATGACTTGACGTTGGTCCGCGCTCCTGCTTCGACGTTCTGCTCTCGGCCCCATTCTGCGGCATACATCAGAGCAGTCCGGCCTTCGCTATCGCAAGAATTGACGCTGGACACTTCTCTGAGGCATGATGCTAGGACTTTGGAATCGGGATTCATTGCAGCGAGCATCACAGAAGTGACATGATCACGGGTGAGTGACGGATTTGCAGCGGTTTCGGTGAGATTTGGAGCGGCCCAGGCGGATGCGTAGGACTGTGAAGCGCCTTGGCGTAAGAGTAGACTCAAAAGTGAGGCGGAAGCCGTTGCGCAGGCCATTTGCAGCGGTGAATAATTGCAGATCCCGTAGGAGGACTTCGTTTGTGAATCGAGAGCCTCGGTAAGGTATGTTTCCCACTGAGCGCCGTTTGCTATGATATTCAACATGACCTGGGCGCAGTGAACACTTGGTATGTCCGTCGAGAGCAAGAAGTCTTTCCACGATTTTGTCATCCCTGGCGACAATAGCACAGTGCAGCGGAGTGGCTGTCAGGCGTCCCTGGATATGGACATTTGCCCTGCTTTCGAGTAGCAAGTCGGCAACGGCTGAGCGATTCTTGAGGCAGGCCAGATGTAGCGGTGTTCCGATATGGTCACTGACAGCATTGACGTCGGCTCCAACTTCGACCAAGACAGAGGCCACGTCCTCAAACCCGCTAAGCGCAGCATGGTGGAGGGCGGTAAGTCCGAGGTCATCACAGTGGTCGATGTCAACTCCTAGTCGTAGTAGGTGGCGGATGCGAGGGGATTGGCCTTCTGCCGCTGCTCGGAGTAGGAGCTTGTTCCTGCCGTCTTCTCTGAGCGTTTCGTCTGACTTTCGTTGCCGGATGGTATAGTTGTAAGTGTTATCTGCCGGGTGTCAGCGCTCGAATCTCGAGGCTGTAGAGATGCCACCGATACTGTTGTGAACATTGCCGTTGTGCTGTCTAGCCTCGCCGCTTGCTGTGTTACCCTGAAAGTTCATCCGAGAGAAGGCGCCTTCGATCTCAGTCTCCATGAGGACCGTGTCGCTGACGTATACCACGGATGAAGGCAGGTGTCATGAGAATGCGCAGAGATGCGATGTGCGCGAAAACGGTGCTGGTGAAGATGGAAGGGTATAGTGTTCAGCCTCAGCAGATGTGGGAAGCCTCAGAAAGAGTAACGCCACGGCGCTAGACGTGGGTCACGTGGAGATCACGTATATCAGCAAATCTTCAGATGGATTCGAACCGGGTCTGGAAAGTGACAAACTGTGAAGTAGAAGGGCACACCGTGGCAGCAAATTGATAAGAGGAGAGTCGCTATAATGCTCGCCGACGTCACCTGGCCCAGCTCGCATGCCGGTGATTACCGAAGACTTTCGTAACCACCCGCGCGATAGCACTTCCTCCACAACTTGACCCAAAGAGTACTCCCCTCACCTCGCGCACCGAGTCCCTCATCGTGCACCGGATAGCGAACTTCTAGCACCTCTCTCAAGAGCTCCACAGCAGGGCGAGTGTGTTGCGACTGCCAACAGACCTGATACCACGGGCAGAGAAATGGACAAGCTAAACTTGACTTGTAGACGTGACCGCGATCCCAGCGATGTTCGGGAAGGGATTCTCGAGGATATTCTGCATCTGCCAATGTGTCAGTAGATGGAGGTGCGCATCTCTCAACTAATTGTATGTGTGTACTGACCCGTAACAACATCCGTCCCCAGCGACTGCTTCGCCGGCTCAAGCAAGCCATCCTGCGTAGGCGTGCTGGCGATAGATGCAACGCCCGAGTCGATCCTATCTTGCACGAGCTTTGCTCTCGCGGCAGCGGCGGTCGAGGACTCTACCTGCGGGTCGGTGTATGCGAAATGGTCGGGCGCAAGATCCATGGTGGAAGCCTTAGGAGTGTAGTGATATTTGTGGCCGGAGAGCTGTGACGCTGTGTGCGAAGTGCGATTCTGCGAAGCGGTCGGCGAGACTTTGAAGGTGCGAGGCATAGGTGACGAAGTTGTGTCCGGGTGTCACTTTCCGCATGAAGCGCGTTTGTCACACGGCTGCTTATGTTTGTTTGGCAAACATATTCACTCGAGCGGCCGCAGCGCATGTGACAGCTTCAGCAAGGGTTTCAAGGATGCGCGCGCGAGTTCTGTCTTCACGGGATTCTCTTAACCTTTCCGATCACTTCGCCCAGCATGTCGATCATGTTCTCACGCTCAACCTCTTTCTTGCGCCGCTCCTCCTCGACCGTGCGCAGTTCCTGCTCGAGCTCCTTCATTCTGCGCTCTTGCTCAGCCTGACTGTTGCCAATGCCTGGCAAGTTGTTGATCACATGCTCGATCATTTGCTCCTTCAAAACTAGATCTTGCGCCAACTCGACCATTGCCCTGTTGAAAGTCTCGGGATTCTCTGGCAGCGGCTCTTGACCTTCGCGGTTCGCTCGGGCATTACTTCCTTCTCCTTGCTTGTCACCGTCTCCATTCGTCGCTGCCGTTGTGCCGTTTGCGCCTGCCTGGTGCGATGAAGGTTGCGAAGGTGCTTGCGAATCTTGGCCTGGGATCGAAGCGTAAGGTGCGCGCGTGTGAATGTAGTCGAGAGACGTGTACATCTGCATGAGCAGCTACGTGAAATTGCATCAGCAGTATTCGCCACGTGCGTTCTCATTGTAGTCCTACATCATCCAGGAATTCCTGGAGCTGCGTGAGTCTGTCTGCCATATCGCCGAACGCGGTCGCGCCTTTGTTGTCGCATGCGGTAGCGCCAGCGACTATAAAGTGATCTGACTCTATGCGATACTGTCCGGAGCTACCACAGTGTGTTGCGGCGCTCAAATCATGTTTGCGACAGGAAAGAAGATGAGATTGTTGCATGTGAGAGCTGCTCAGACCAGCTCCTTCCCCCGGCGCAGCTTTCCTTCCCGAAGAGCTCCGATTGACCCCTTGGCATGTATGGGCCTCCGTACCGAAAGCTTCTTTGCGCACAGCTCTTCCAGCGCGTCTCGTTCGCGCGACAACATCCACTCACCACATTCCTTCCATTCTTCCGCCAAGATAGCGCTTTGGTCGAAGCATGAGAAGTGTCGAAAGACGCTCATGCTTTGCAGCCATGCCGTTGTGCGCCAATGCCGACCCTACCAATACGTAAGGCTCGCAAGGAGCTTTGCCAGCAATGCCCTACGATCTCAAATACAACCGAGCACGTTGTCTATTCATGAGGCTACTACGAAAAGGCCGATAATCTCTGCTATAATCGATCTCTTCTCAGGCAATCGAAAAGGAGCCAAGAGGACGGAGCCATCTTCAGCCTCTAAGCCAGTGTCGCGAAGACGGTCCAAGGTCGCCGAGGCCAAGCAGAGCGTCGTGAAAGGTGGCGCAGAGAAACGGACGAGAACATCTCCGAAAAGCATATCAGATGCTTCTGCTGCAAAGAAGAGCAAGGTGTTGGCCACAAAATTGCCCTCTAGGCTTCTATGCCCATCGACAGCAAAGCACAGTGATCTCAAATCGTTCGAAGAACATTTGGAACGCAAAGGATCGAGGACCAACTCAACGACATCCAGAGGTACTCGCTACGAATACCGGGTTATGGATACTCTCGGTCGACTTGAATTCAAGCTCGAACGCACTGGCCGGCCCAATGATCGAGGCATAGACCATCGGGGCTTCTGGGAATTGGGCGACAAATCAGAGATCAGAGTGCTCCTTCAGTGCAAGTTATCAAAGCCTCGCCCGTCGATGATACGTGAGCTGCACTGCCGTACGGGCGCGCCTTCAGGCTGGGACACAAACTCAACCATGTCCTTTCTCGTATGTGCTAAGCCGGCAACGTCAGGCGTGATGAGCGCTCTGAAGACGAGTCCCCTGCCCATGTGTTTCATGCAGATCAGCGAGGAGGGCGTTTTGGAGGGCTTCGAATGGAACAAAGTCGCCGAGGATATGTACCTGACTGGTCTTACAACAAGTGAGAGGCAGATTTCGGACGAAAAGACGGGAGAGGTTCGGAAGTGCCTCGAGTTGTTGTGGCAGAAGAGAAAGTTGAAGAAGTGAGGCAGAGTAGAGCTGGTTGGCTGCCCGGTACCATGAGCCGCTCAAGAGACTACATATGGCCTTGAGGAAGACAAAGCAGAGCAGAGCACAGCACAAGTGATGCCGGATTTAAGGCGCGGGAGAGCGGGCGGCAGGGACTTCAAAGCCACAATCGGAAGCTGGCCCATGTCTTGGCCGGCCCTATTCTACACCTCGAGTGGATGTGCAGAAACCTAATAACACGCCTTATCACAAGTCCATTGTGCATATATAGCATCTGAGGTGACACCGTGACATTGCTGTGTGAGTAGCAGAAATCACCATCCGCACCGCGCCCTACCACATGTCAGTGTGCTCGTGACTCAGCATCAAATCGACTCATTGACGAGGCCTTGCAAACCCCAATTGCCCATTGACACCGGTCCCTCCCGGCTGACGGCGGACATGGCGTCGACCAACAGCATCGAATGCGGCGAAGAAGCATTGAAACACTTCGGGTTCAGGGGCAGCTACAGGAATCTCAATCATGGCAAGTCAAAGGCTTCATGAGCGAGAATGTCCGCTGATGTTGTACAGGCTCATTCGGCACCTTCCCGCGACACATTCGTTCAGTCTTGCACTCCTTCCAGGACGAGTGTGAAGGCGAGCCCGACAAGTTTATTCGGTACACCTATCCGAGAAAGCTCGATGAGTCGCGAGAGGCCATTGCCAAGCATCTCAATGCGCCGGTGGAGGCTTGTGTGTTTGTGCCCAATGCAACCACGGGCGTGAACACCGTGCTCCGCAACATCGTATACCAGCCAGGGGATGTCATCATCTACTTCGCGACCATCTATGGCGCCTGCCACAAGACTGTCGACTATCTCGAGGAGACGACACCGGTCACAGGTGCGAAGGTGGAGTACACCTACCCGCTATCCGACACCGACCTCGTAGCTCGCTTCAACGAGGCCACTGCCAACATCCGAGCGTCGGGCAAGAATCCTAGGTTGGCAATATTCGACACCATTGTCTCCATGCCTGGCGTGCGCGTCCCCTTTGAAGCATTGACGAATACATGCCGCGAGCAGGGGATACTATCCCTCATCGATGGTGCTCATAGCGTTGGTCAGATCCCGATGAATCTCTCCGCACTCGACCCAGACTTTTACGTCTCCAATGCCCACAAATGGCTTCATGTTCCACGCGGATGCGCTGTCTTCTATGTCCCACTCCGGAACCAGCATCTCGTGCGAAGCACTCTGCCAACTAGTCACGGCTTCGTACCGAAGACTGCTGGCGCTATCTCACCACTTCCTCCGTCCGCCAAATCGGAGTTCGTGAACAATTTCGAATTCGTTGGAACTCTCGACAACTCACCTTACCTTTGTGTTCCTGCTGCATTGGAATGGCGAAGCAGATTGACCTGGCAAGGCAAAAAAGGCGAGGATGCCATTATGCAGTACTCTTGGCAATTGGCCAGGAGGGCAGGCGAAATCGTGTCGAGAGCGCTCAACACGGAGGTCATGGAGAGTGCTGAGGGTACTCTGGGTAAGGATATCAACTTTGCAAACGTCGCTCTGCCAATCGACTTCGAGAAGGATGCAAACGGCGACATGGGAATTGCCATAGAAATTGCGCAGTGGCTGAGCAATGTGCTGGTCGAAGAGTACGATACGTTTTTGGCTGTAATGGTGCACGGCGGCAAGTTCTGGACAAGGTTGTCGGCGCAAGTATACCTCATAGAAGGTGACTTTGAGTGGGCTGGGAAGACTTTGAAGGAGGTGTGTGAGCGAGCCAGGGGTGGAGAGTGGAAATCTGGGCGGCAGAGCAATATATGAGTATTACCTACGTATACCTTGCACATGCTGGAAGCTGGGGCGGGGAGATCAAGTGAAGGGCGAATGCCGCTGTGGGGGAGGAGCTCTCTTTGTCTGAAAAAAAAAGCTTCCTTTATACACTTACACATCCCTTCCGCATCCGGTCCTCTTGCTGACGACTCAACTCACCTTCCAGCTGATATCAAAGCGTCACCGCATTGTAGACAGCATCAATAGCAAATTGCTATTCCTCGAAACTTTGCAGCCATGGCCACGAAGCGCAGAGCAGATACGCCACCGGCCGCGACCAGCGCATCAACAAGCACCAAGAAGACAAGAACAGCGCGGCGCTCATACCATGTCGCCGACAACAGCTCCGGCGGACACAATCCAACAACTCCACGGCTCCAGTCGCCCCTTAACTTCCTGCACGAGTGCCCTTGGAACATACCCACAGAGAACAATCGCATCAAGCACTTCGACCCTGTTCAAATCAGTCGAGATGCCTTGCAGACGCATGTAATCGTGCACCCAAAGCTTCAACCTCTGATCACCGCCTTCCTCCACTACAAGCAAGCCCACGGCTCCGACATAGAGAAACGCCTGTACGCCGACATGTCTCAACACGACCTCGTTGCTCGTCTCATCACGAATCGCTGCCTGCATTTCGTCCAAGCGCACGACTACACCGTCCTCCGAGATGGCACCATTTTGCCCTACGGCCATGACGAATGGATGCGCGTCGGCACGGATGCGGAAGATGTCAACCACCACATCTTTCTGGAGGACTATCTCTCCTACGATGAAATGATGCTCGCCTCCATGCTCGGCACATCTGGACCTACCCACTTCATCAACGCGGGTCAACGAGATAGCAGAGCTGAAATCGACCCCACCGTCCCTCATCAAGATCGTGGCATCATCGTCGGTCTAGTCGGTGCGCGTTTCGATGCGCGAGGGCAAATGGACCACATCATCTGCGGTCTGGCTCAACACTGGCACGGCGAGCGACTTCAAGATCCAGAGCTCACCAAAATCTTCCGCAAATTCTTCGATCCAGACTACGATGAGGAGACATTCAAGGAAGGCGATCTCAACGAGAAGATCTACAAGGGCCGCATCCAGCTCACGATCGAAACCGCCCTGCTCGAAGCAGATGACCGCGCTGCTGCCGAAGGAACCACAGCTCACATGTTCCTACCCGGCCTTGGTCTAGGCGTCTGGCGCGTCTCCAAAATTCAAATCAAATGGTACTTCGAAGCCCTCCTCGACTCCCTTACCTGGCTCGACCTCAAACATGTCACAACTCTCGAATGCGGATGGGAGAAATTGACCGGCTGGCCAAAGCTGGAAGCAAGCCTCAAAGCTATTGGCAAAGAAAGAGGTATCAACGTCCTCATCGGTAGTCAGAGACCTCCTTGTGGGAAACTAGAGACCGAAGAATTGCTTGTGAGAATTTGGGCTTGGGATGGAAACTCTTTGCCTGGGAATGAGTATTGGAGTGGTGGGAGCTGTTTGACCAGCAGTGATGATCCGGCTGCGGCGTGTAACTCTACCATCGTCGAGTTGCACAATCCTTGGGTTAATCCGTTTGAGAGGAAGGTTAAGGTACTTTTGGAGAGGGAGAGGAGGAGTGAGGAAGAGCATGCCGCATCGCCTGCCATCAGCACGGACTTTCCTACCCTCGAGGAAATCAGAGCTGCTATCCCGGCTCAAGGCACCGATATTAAAACCCTTGTATCGCTCTTCAAACCACGCACCACTGGCAGGGTTGCGGAATTCATCAGATTAGTCAAGATGGTTGGAAAGCCGAGTATAGACCCGGGTAGGCGGAAGGGTATGCTTGTTCCGAAATGAGAGGAGACGGGGAAGAATGAGATGGATGCAGGAAGAACAAAGAGAGCTGCTGGCTTATTATAGACTGTCGTACCTCGTACAACGTGGATTTCGACCGTGAGGTGTGGAACAAGGCGTCAAATTTTGGCCGGATTCGGGAATCTTGGTGTTTTGTTCGTAGGGTGGGACAAAGAAGTTCATGATGGAATGCGTTCGCACTTCTTGTCTCTCCCAGACAGGTTGACGTGAACGCACTTCTCGTATCACGAGCCTTTGATCAGAAATGGCAACTGTAGCTCCGACTGCGGCTGCGCAGAAAGCAGCATGGACGGAATTCAATCTTGATATTTGGCGCCCAGGTCGTCGTCCAGGCGGAGAACGAGGCCAGAATGGTAAGTTGAAGTTCATGTCTTGTTACGATTCAGAGCTGAAGAACGTCCTGCAGCCGTTGTGGTGGGCCTCAACAACGTATGGACCAGATTCACTGCTCCTGAGCGGCTCAATGTCTACCGAATCATTCAGAACTACATCGCCACCGAGGCACAGCTTGCCGCTTTACCAGCCATACCAGCGCAAGTCCCGAACCGCACTGCGACAATCAATACAGTGCAAGACTACTTCCGAGCCATTTCCCGCAGGCTCGAGCACGAAGAGACCCTCGTTGAAATCGCCACAATCCTCATTAATGCCCTGCCACAAAAGCCCGTCAGAGAGAAGCTCGTGACTCACAGGAACACTTTGAATGCTACTGCAACGCAGCATCGGCAATCTCTTGGTGCCATACGGGACCTCGAGACGCGATGTCAGGAGTACGCTAGAGACATAGCACCTCGCGCTCCCCCTCGTGGCACAGACGGTGACCGTGATTACGGCAAGGTCAGGGAGTACTTTGACAATCACATCCCTGCCCTGAGACAGCGTATTCAGGACCGGGACGGACTTCGACAAGATTTTGACGCTGCCGTCAATGCCCTTAGTGGTGACACTAGAGATGTTGCAGTTGCACAAAGCCGCTGTCTTGTGGCGATGAGGAGTGAACAAGACCTTACGCTTACGAGACTGAGGGCAACAGTGGAAGTCTTGCGATACTGGCTTCAAAATGACCCTCGCGATGGTGAACCGCATGAGAGTACTGCCCCCACCGCTCCATTGCCGGATGTAGACGAGCTGGAACGCTATATCGCGAGTCTGGACGACTTCAAGAGCTTTCACGACGCCGTCCAGCGAATGAATGACTTTTACGATGCTCGCTTGCCTGGGCCTCCAGCGCCTCCACCCCCTGGAGATGTCGCAGAAACAGAGCTTGCAACGCTGTTCCCGATCATGGAAGACGCCTACGGCAAGCACAGAGAATGGCTGGAACGGATTCCGGCTCACATCCGACGCCTGCGAGACGCCTTCGAGGCCAAATGGGAAGACTACGACAGCCTGAACGAAGATGAGAAAATCGCTTTGAAGGAGTTCGCTGATAAGGTGGTTGAGCGGCGAGAGACCATGGACGCCGAACTAGGCCAAGGATGGATGGGGCCAGTGTTCCTAGGTGAGGGCGGACACGGTATAGTCTCGCTCTGGATCAAACAAGACACGGCTGGACGCATCGTAGATCGTGTCACTGTCAAAGAGGCAACCAACTACAACGAGAACGACAATCCATCTCTTGGGCTATGGAAAGCACCATACCCCATCTCTTTGGAGGTGGCAGCTATGTACAAGTTGAAGTACCTACCTGGCTCAGATCATATTGTGCGGATTCGCAATTTCAGGACAAAGCCGCCGGTGAACGGCGACAAGAGACATCGAATATATGCGGAATACTGCAAGGGTGGCGATCTTAAAGCATACCAGTCGATTTACCACGAGCCAGACGAGGATCCGTTAAGCGAGCCATTCCTTTGGGCGCTGTTCGATTCTCTTGTGTCTGCCGGCTTGCTTATGGAGGGCCATCATCTCCCCAAGACAACACCGCCCATGTGGGACGAAATTGTACACGGCGACATGAAGGCAAACAACATTCTGCTGGCGGACAACCCCACCGGCCACTTTCGAGGCTGGCAGATATCTAAGCTCTCGGATTTCGGCCTTACAATGATCATTCCAGCAACGGGAATCGAGCCGCCAGATAGCTGGGAACGGCGTTATTCCAACTGGGTAGCACCTGAGATGACCAAGGTATACAATACTACCGAGGAAGACGGTGAGGCTGGTGTGTCTGGAAGCCTATATCCTAGGTCCCCAGCAAATGTATGGGGAGCAGGATTTGTGATGCGGGAGATGATGCATACTAATCCATGGGCTGGACTCTGGAGTCGTTCCCAAATTTCGAGTCCAGGAAGACGAGCTAACAGCCGAGAAGATGGATGGCCGAAGCCTCCTCCGTCATTCACAGCCGTTGAAGATGGCAGATACAGCGCGACGTTGAGGGATCTGGTCATGAAATGTCTCGATATCATTCCCGAGAAACGCCCTACATTTGTCGACCTCAGACGTGCGATCATTGCTGAAACAGGTCCTACAGGCACTGATGCTCGCCTGGTCAATCTCCGCGATGCTCCTGCCGATGACCCTCGATTTATCCTCCACGGTCCTCATCGAAGTGTGGATAACTATGCCGTGGGTCTAGCTGTCGACGACCTGCCAGCAGACACTTTGCCATTCGAGACGAGACTTCCTCGGCCGACTGCAGATTCCGCGAATCCTGAAGTCGTTGGGGGAGGAACTGGTGAAGAGGCTGCCGTTCCCACAAACGTTCAAGATGCAATGCAATATCTCAAAGACACCGTCAAGTCTAATAAGAGGACTTTCGAAATGATTGGTTGAGCAGTCGCCCACGGAGAGTTCATGGAGTGTTCCGAGGTCTAGATGGTCGACAAAGCATCCGTGTAGCGCCGGATTCGGAATTGCGAGAGAGGTGTCGATCTTTGTGGTGTGGGAGACAAAGACAATCACATGGAACCCACCATCAAGCGAATCTCGCGCATTTCGCGAGCACTTTGTCTTCCGCCAATTGTTTTCTGTAGTGCTTGCCATAGACCTTTTTGACAAACCAAATCATGGCAGCAGCAGCAGCAGCTCCTACTCCACTTGAACGATGGAAAGACTTCAACGTAGATTTATGGAGGGCAGCACAGCCTCGTGCCACCAGTCATGGTCAGGGAGGTAAGTGTATCTGATCTGAACACAAGGACCAAGATTGATCTCTCTTAGGTGTGAGAAGAGGAGCCAGCAACGCTTGGAACGCAATCACCGTCGCTGAACAAGCCAATGTCATCACGGAAGTTGATCGTTGGACCAATGTTCGAGCACAACTCGATATCACTTTGATGAACCCTTCACCCTTGCCAAACGCAGTCCCGAATACCAATGATCGGAATACATTGGATGACTTCTTCGAAAGAGGTTACGATGTCTGCCTATCTACCAGGAGTCTCGCAGCCAGCTTGGACAGAATCGTGAACATCGTTCAGCACAAGTCAGTCCGCGAGCGAGTGGTTCCCGCTCGTGACCAGGCCCAAACCGTCGCTGCAACATGGATGGCAGCTCTCGGTGCTATGCGAGGCTACACGAGACGTATACGCAGTTTCGGAGACCGTAGCCGTATAGGTCCCGCTGGTCCCACGAGAGCCGGTCCAACGCCAACATATTCAGAGGACCGAGACTACCTCGACGCGAATCGAGATGCACTCCGAGACCGAAGAGACAATCTGCAAACCCTGATCAACGACATTCGCACCGAAGTGCAAACGCGTGCGAACAGCAACGCCGTTGTCCCTCGCGGAGAGCGGATCTACCTCAATCAATACGTGACGCCAATGCAAAGGCGCATCGATCTTCTCACTCATATCGTGGCAATCCGTAGCCGCTGGGACAAAGATACCGACATGATTGACGATGGCGCGCGCATCAACGATTTCGGACAAGAACCCAGTGTGAACAATCTGAGAGATTTCATCCGGCATCTTGACAACATCAAAGGCTTCGAGGAGGCACTGACTCGACTGACTGCTTGTTACACCTCCAGATTTCCGACTCAGCCGATGGTGGCAGGGACCGATGTCGAAGCGCTTTTCCCGTCGATCGTCCGTTGTCATCAGCAGCATACCCTTTGGCAGAATGCCACGGTGCCGGAAGTGAATCGTCTGCAGGCGATGTTCAGTAACCAGTGGGGCGGCGACTTTGATGCCTTATCCCTCGATCAGCGAGACAGACTGCGCGCACGAGCCAAGGAAGCTTTGAGACAGAGAGAAGCAAGAAATGCCGACCTCTCGAGTTCCTGGATGGGACCAATGCATCTAGGCGCAGGAATGCATGGAGTCGCGTCGATATGGATCAAACAGGACGCCGCGGGTCGCATCTCAGACGTAAGTAAACAAACATGGCCATCTCGCCTCCATCACCTCTCATCTAACATTGCCAACAGCGTGTCACAGTCAAAGACACGAACAATTCCAATCCCAACTACCTGAACCCTTCTGGTGTCGTCCAACCTCCGCCGCGTCATCCCATGGAAGCCGTTGCAATGCTGAGACTAGTCGACCTCCCCGGCTCCAGCAGCGTAGTCAACATCCGAAACTGGCGCCGCAAGAGACCGTTCGAAACAAGTCCCGGGTACCGCATCTACATGGAATTCTGCAGCGGAGGAGACCTGCAAGCCCTCTCCAGCAACTACTGGCCTCGAAGCTTGAATCCGAATTTCATGCCCGAACCGTTCCTCTGGGCTGTCTTCGACTCGCTCGTGACTGCCGGGCTTTTGATGGAAGGTTCGCATCTTCGAGACGCGGCTCGACCTCTGTGGGACCAGATCATCCATGGGGATATGAAGCCGGACAATGTCTTCCTGGGCGAGAACACGAGTGGGACGTTTCGCGGCTTTCCTCTGGCGAAACTTGGGGATTTCGGGCTTGCTACCGTTTTCCCGAAAGCAGGTCTCGATCCGCAGGACAATTGGATCGCTTTCAGCGGGCCTGGATATCGAGCTCCCGAAATGGCAAAGAGGTATCGGAGAGGTAATGGTGCTGCGGGCACATACGCGCCCGAGTCGGCGGCGAATGTTTGGGTACGTTATACAAGCCTCCCCATCGCGCACAGCAGTCATCTAACACGACATCCTCCCCCAGGGCGTCGGCATGATCATGCGAGGCATCCTCCACAACAACCCCTGGGCCAACCTCTGGCAAGGCGACGAAGCCGCCACCCCACACAAACCTCCAGGTTTCACCCACCCGCTCGAACTCACCAACTACTCCCCCCGCCTCCGCAACCTCATCATGTCCTGCCTCGAAGTCCAGCCCATCGACCGCCCAACTTTCTCCCAACTCCGACAAAGCATCCTCGCAGAAGTCGGAGACGATGGCGCCGATCCGAACCTCGCGAGACTGAGAGACGCCCATCCTGCGATCGATGCGAGGTTCACCACCGGAGGCCCTCCACGGCCGGCGGACAAATATGCCCTGGGTCTGGCGACCGATGACGTCCTCCCCGCGGCGCGCTATCTACCTCCTCCTGCTGTGACTTCGCCTGTTAATGTTACGGTCGGAGGACCCCCCGGAGCGGTGGCGAGTAATGCTGAGTTTGAGAATAATGCTGTGCCGGAATTGATTCGGAGTGTTTTGAGTCGGAAACGGACGTTTGATTACGTGGGATGATGATAAGGAGGGAAGGACAAGATTTTGCGATTCGCATTCGCATTTTTCTGTCCATACAACTAACTCACTCCTTCGCACTTTTCCGAATTATCGTGCATTTCTCCGTGATTCCAAACTGTGAACCCCCAAAAATCGCATCATTTCAAGTCAGCATACATAACACACATTCCTCCCTGTCCATGACTACTCACAGGCGCCAACATCCTACTCCGTCGCAAATCTTCCCTTTTCCACTTCCCGTTAAATACCTCCTGGTCCTCGAACTCTAACACTTGCTCTTCGACACTCGACCCTTCCTGCGCGGCGACTTTTTGCGCTAATCGTGTCACGGTCATGGAACCCCGTGCTTCCATGGCGATGGGCGGTGCGTCTGGTTGTTGGGGTTTTATTTTGATGACGAACTTCTCGGCGGCGGTTTGTTGGGCTTCGTCGTTGAAGAGGGAAGGGGAGGAGGAGGAGGAGATGGAAGATCTGCTGCTGAGGGGGATGATGGTGGAGGATGTGCTGCTTGCGCGGTCGGCCATGTTGGATTTTTTTTTCTGGTTCGTTGTAAGTCAATGGATCCCTGCTGTTCGTCAAAGTGTTGGTGGAATGGTTTCGATTCTTTTGATATACAATGGAGCTTTGAGACACGACTCGTTGGCGCTGCGTGGTGACGATGGGGTGGTTGTTGTGGCGTCGATCAAACCCCCGATTGGGAAGATGTCTCGAGTCATGTCTGGTTGTCTGGAATCGGGCTACGCGATGTTCAGGGATTTCGGTGATTGTGTTCCTGGCTTGCTGGAGATGCCCATCGAGGCTGAGAAATTTCGAGTCGTTTGTTCAAAGAGGTCAAGTTAAGCTTGTCGCTGTCGCTGTCGCTGCCGTTCATCAAGTCTGGCTATGATTGGCTCGACCGATATCTTGGCACCACTCGGCCCGTGAGGCTGCGGTCGGTGATGCATCCATTGGAGCTCTGAAAGTGACGATGGACCGTGGGATGTCCACCTCAACTGTAGTCTCCCTCTCCGGGTTCTCAAAAAGAGTCGGCACAGGGGGTGGTTCATCAGCCAAAGAGTCCGCGGGAGACTCAGAAACGACTACTGGATGTTGTGCGTTGTTGACTCTATGAGGCTCATCATCGATGCCAGACTCGTCGTCGCCGCCATCAGATTCAGATCCAGAGTCATAGAAGTCATAAGGCTGCTCCTCTCGACATTGATGGTAGGTGTTCGAACCCCCCCCCCCCCCTCCCCTACAGCCCTCGCACGGTATGCTCACCCCATACGTGCATTTCTTGCATGTCGAGCAATGCCATTCTCGCCAGTCGTTGCATTCTTTGCAGACGGGACAATGCCAGGTGCAATCGTCTTGTTCCCAAGCACCATCTGGAGAGTTGTGACCTCCGCGGCAGAAGGAGAAGTAATACTGCTGCCATTCGTCCTCGAGCTCGAACAAGCCAGATCGAAGCAGCTCTTTCATGTGTCGGAAGCCAAGGAGCAGACTGCACTTGACGAGTTTCAGAAGGACAGTTCTACCGGGCAAGCATTCGATGGGAGTATTAGCGAGGCTGTTAATAATGCTAAAGCGAACAAGCAATGTTCTCATAAGACCGGAGACCTCTTGAAGCAGGCTGCTCAATATCTGCGGACCCAGGCTCGACGCAAATCGAAGATGCCGGGTGGTTGGCAGTTGAATTGATGCACTAGGATTCAAAGGTATCTCGGAACAGGCCCTCCGTTCTCTCGTCCGGTACTACTTTTTGCAGTCCCGTCCGTGTCTTCAGATTCTTTGCACAGCTTTCTTCTCTGTTGACCTAGGCTCCGATTTCGTCGTCTTGCCCGCAGATGCTGAGATCCTTCGCTCCATCAGCGCCGGTTGTCTTCGAGTAAATGGAACAATTTCCGACAGCCACGCCTCTGACTCCGAGCTCCTTCAATCCTGCGAACGTCTATCTGAACAACGCTCCGCTGACATGAGAAGCTTCACTCTCATATTGAGTGAAGTGTAAATGCTAGAGATAAGGGGCGCCGGCGAGGATCTCTATGAATTCGTCGCCTGTCTCTGTGTCGTCGTCGTCAATCCAGCCGCTGAAATGAAAGGTAGTTAACCATGATGCAAGGTTCATGAAAGCAGCGTGCCCGCTGGGCTCCATTGCATGAATTCTTCCTGGTCCAAGTCACCCACAACGATTGAGGGCACTGATATATTGTTCGGGTAGAGTGCTTCTGAGACGGCAGTGAATGGCCACGCACTGTTCATGCAGTACCCGGCCGCTTGTCGTGGAAGCGGCTCGGCCTTCACATTGGCGATTCGTATCTCTTGAACATTTCTATGTTCTTTCAAGCTGCCGAAGAATGCCGTTAGCCACAACAGAAAGCGCTCCTTAAGCTCCACGGACCAGAGATCTTCTGCCTTGGCTTCGAGCTTGAATGTGACTGAGCGAGCGCATTGCCATCGCCAGCTTATCGTTCGCTACCACTTTGTAAGTATGCCTTGGCGAGCATGCCGATGTCGCCCAATGTGATCCTGCGATGGCTGTAATGCACTTCGGCGTACGTTTTGAGGACTTTCAATGCAGCATTGTCGATTTACGATGCGAAGTGAGATGAGTGTTTCTGCCGGCACGCTTTTCGCGATCTGCTCGAATATTTCTAGAGGTAGGGAGTCGAGGCTATAGATATTAAATAATAATTAGTTTAAATATATATTTATATTTAGTTGAATATGAATCTGAATATAGATAGACTAAATAGTAGGTCTATTTATATTTAGTCAGATAAGTTCCGGATAGGGCATTCTATAGCTAAAGTAGTAGCAAACCTACCTTACTTCTAGGAAGATACCTTAGGTTATTAGTAAGGGTAGTAAATGCCTATTCCGAGGCGTCCTTTATACTAAAATACTAAAGACTCTTCTAAGAAACAAGATACTATCACTATTAACAAGTAGGCATATCGTAATCGATCTCGCAGCTCGTTTCCCTTCGTCCTCGCCGTCGCTAAGAACTAGACTAAATATTGAACATTTACCTAAATACGCTAGAAGCCATATCCATATTTACTAAATATGTGCTTGTAGGCGGCTGCGCGTGCCTACTAAGTGCGAGCGAAGCTTTCGTACTCCGCTGCCCTTTTGCTGCCCTTCAATCCTTCTCTTTTACTACCTATATTCCTTTTGCTGCCTATGTTCCTGCCTGTTCTGCTTCTCTTTCTGTTTCTTGAATTGCGTCGTCTGCTATGTTGCGCGATACGTAGCGTACATATATCGTGCTTTGGAGCGGGTATTGTTAGCGTATAGTGTTGCTATAGTTAGCGCGTAGTATTAGTGTTATCTGGAAGTCGCGTAAAAGTTGATGCCTAAGGGTAACTATGTAGGATTTAGCCAATCAAACAATCGCATTCCAAAATCCGGGGAGTCACGTGGTGGCTAAACGACGTATTGCACTACTGGCGAGCGAGACTGCTATAGTAGTGCGAGCTTCGCTCGCAAATATAGGGTCTAAGCACCAAATATTTAGTATTTAATATCTATAGTCGAGGCTGGCTATTGCGATAATATATTGGGATCTTGAGATTTGCAGAAGAAGTTAATCAGTAGCGCACACTAAAGCTGACATCGATCGCGAGACGCTGGTGAACACTAGCAAGCAATATAGATACACTAGAAACATCTAAATGCCGCTGGAAATCTCGAGCATTGTCTGAGACGCTGGAACTTGAGAACAACCTTACCATAGAGCGCAACCTGATCGGCAAGTCTCACGAAGAAGATTGGAGATGCAGGGCGAATGGAGATGAGCGGTTTTCCGAGTCACTATCAAGGGACTCTCATTGACACGAAGTAAGAACGGAGGTGGCGCATCTTTTCATACACACGGCATCTTCAGAACCGTCGAGCATAGCCGATACAACACCAACGTCTCACTAGACCATTCTCAAGCCAAACATAGAGAGACAGGATAGGCTGTAGCAAACAGCGTCAGAAGCTCAAAATGTTATTAGCGGTCTATAGCCATCACTTCGGTGCCCAACACGATGCCTATGGATCCAGAGGAAGTCGAGCGCAGACTCGCAGCACCACCCCGACGACGCATTAACCTTGAAACTGCTTCGTGGTCGGACCCGACCTCTTGGACCGACCCAAACGATATCGACAACAATTGTCCAGAATGCGGATATCCTAAGAATCCCTGTCTGTGTAATATGGATATGTCTCAACCTATATTCAAACAAGGCCTCTCAAAAGAAGATTTTAACGAGTTGTGGATATCGAAGTTCCAGACTCATTTAAGTCATTGGCCACGGAATATTCAGAGTCATGAGAGTCGGTATTGGTGGTGTGACAAAGCGATGGATTTGTGTTTTGAGTTGAAAGATGATGCCGAGGAGTAAGTAAGTATACGTACGTACCGGATTCTTTAGTTACTGACTGAGGATCTTTAGGAACGAGATTGATATCGAGTCGTTCCCGAGATTCCCGGAAGGTGTGACTGGGCTGGAAGAAAAGCCTTGGGAATACAAGTTCCAAGGAAATTGTCGGTCGGCTGCTGTGGCGTGTTTGAATATTGTGGATGAGCTCGCTGGTCGGTATGGAAAGTGGCGGAGAGGTCGTCCGGAGAAGGGGGGAGATGCAAAGATCTACAAGACCTTTTCGCCTGAGGCGAGGGCGGCTTGGGAGAGGATGGTCGAGAGGTGGAAGACTGACGATATGAAAAACCTCGTCAAATCGTTTCGATGGTCTTCCCCCCGACCATTGATTACATTGAGCTGATCAAGCACACTCACATCCCTCCTTTCCTCCTCCTCACAAGCATAAACTCCTCATACCTCATCTCCCCCGGCATAACCACACTCCCCTGACTCTCAAACCCCATCTTGATATACATCCCCACAGCACCAGCATTAGCCTCAACAAACACATCTTCGCCCCTAAAATCCGCAATCTCAAACCCCTTCTCCATCAACCTCCTCCCCACCCCCATCCCTTGATACCCCTCATCAACCCCCAAAAGCTCAATCAACCAATGCCTCTTCCCCGTCCCAAAAAACACCTTCCTCCGCCCTTCCACCATCGCATCCATCGCCGGCCGAAACATTTCCGCATCGTGATCCGGCGTGAATGGGTACAAAGAATAGAAACCCGCGGAATCATCATCTGCGTCTAAGAGACGCATACATAGGATTCCGAGTACTTTTGTCGAAGGTGTGTCGTTTCCATCGACTGCGATGAAAACGTGACAGTTGTCGGAAGCGATTTCTTCGAGGAAGATTTTTGTCCACCAGGTTCTCACGAGAGGTGTGTCGGGGAAGCATTTTCGAACGAAGGCGTTTTGGGAGTGGAAGGATCGGGGGAGGATTGTTGTGCAGGAGGGGATGTGGGTTGGGGTTGCTTCGAGGATTTTGAAGTTGTCTTTTGGAGTTGTAGATGACATTTTGGGGGGTTTTTATAGAAGTGTTGATGTAAAGGTGAAGTTGAAGGTTAGGTAGTACGTACACCTCTTGCTATGCCTGTATCGGAATTGACTCTCCCTGTCTGATATGCCAAGACTAGACCGGTATCGCTATATCAATCCGGTTGCTATTATTAACTAAACAATCGCTAACTATCGTATAAGATTTCCTCGGTCCTTATTTATCCCTCGAGAGTATATATCGTTTTCGATATCCGAGAGGCTATCCGATAAGAATTCTTCGGCCTTTTAAGTTACCTTCTAGACTAAATCCCTATCTCTAAGTCTAGGGCCTAAATACTAGTCTAAAGTTATAGATTTAGTAAATCTTACTAGGGCTATAACGAAAGATAATAGCGCTCTTTTAGACTTTCCTACTCTATCCCTAGATAGAGATACTCTATATAGCCTCGGCGAATTATATATAGTTAAAGTTACGCGTACTTTTACTAGTACTACTATCGCCTATAGGTCCTAAGGTTAATTAGCCTAAAAATAGCCTACTAGTCTATAGATTTAGTTAAATAGAGCCTATTCTAGTATAGTAGTTAGCTTAATCTAATCGTTACTAGTATTTCTAATACCGCCGGCCGCCGGCGCTCCTAGTATATTATCCTATATAGTTTCCGCGCCCGGCGTATTCGGATCGCTTACGTTTATCTTCCGAAGTTCTATAGGCCGCTACTAAGGGTAGACGGTTTAGAACTATAAGAAAATAGGTTAATAGCAACGTATAGAATACCCTCTACTAATTATAGTAGTAGATAGTAGAACTAAACCGTATCTTTTTTAAGAATAGGGTAGAGTATTTCCTATTACTTAAACTAAGCTCGATAGCCTTATATAGCTAGTATACCCGCTAAGCCGGCTACCGAGTATCTCCGTACGAGCTACTAAGTATCTCCGCGTATACGCTAAGTAGGCTTTATACTAGCGGATTAGTACTATACGTAATAACCTTATATAACTATTATATAGGATTTGCTAAGGTAGGATAGGAGACTTTACTTGCTTAGGTTCTTATAATAACTAAGTAAGCTACGATTACAAATCGTAGCGGGCTCTCGAATACGAGTCCTTCTTAGGGCGTAACGTCTTCTTCGGACGTTGATGGCATTAGGTAGGATAGCCAAAATAACCTGGTGTAGAGTGTGCTTGTGTGCGGGGTATACATGTTCTGGCACATTGCGGGCTTTTGATCTTGTGGAAGTTGCTTAGAGCGATCAGCGGTGAGATGGGACTCGACTTTCAACCAAACATTCGGTCAGCTTGATGGTGCGCAGTTGCTCAACCGAGACCAGAGCGATGTTCGAATTTTTTCTTTTGTCGGACAGCTTTAGCCGCAGCAGACCAGGAACCTCTCCAGTCAACGTATTACAAGAGCTTCTCAAAGATAACAATAAGGAGCCTGGCTAGTTCAGAGGTCCTGGCCCTGGCAAGAGATCGCCGCGCATTGCCCGACTTCCTTGGTAAGCGATATGTGCCCTATAGTCCGCACAGCCCGAACTCGGAGATTGAGGAGCGTAGAAGTGTGCCAAAACCAAAGAAGCGATGAGATGAGGCTGAGGTACGTGATCTTGCATTGCATCGTGGCCCTGCACAGCGTCAAGATATCGCCGGATAAGACGGACGGTATTCTCTCGATCAGCAGCGCGAGAATTGATACCAGCAGCTTCTAAAGCAAGTTGTTCTTCGGACTTGTGGTAGATGTGATAGCTGAGCATGAGTACAGCGTGATACGTTTCGAGCTTGAAGAAAGCTCCGTAACCGGAGAGAAGGCGATCGAAGTGATCTGGGGTATTGCTAGGGTCCAAAGCAGCGATGACATCCTGGAGATGTTGCGTGGCGAGTGCGATCGATAGATCTCGTGAATAGTGGTAAGCGGCAAGGTCCAAGGTTGCGAAGGGACGATGGACGGCGGAGAGAAAGGATCGATAGATACCGTTGACGAAGCGATGTTGGAAGGATTTGTCATGGGGTGAGTCGGAAGAGAGTGCTGGGGCCATGATTTGCGTCAAAGCTCGACCGAGAGAAATTGCTGTGTCGAATGGCGCGTGTGTTTCGACGTTCAAGAGATGGGCGATCTTGTAGCGCACAGACAGAGATCGTGACAGCGCTCGGCCGAGGCGAATGTCGTGGAGATGCCGAGTGGTACTGTCATCGTCAGCGAGATTTGCAGCCTCGCTGGCCGAAAGTTGACTATCGAGATGCAGCCACGGTAAGGATGGCGGACTTCCAGACGCTATGCAAGCTTGAAGGTCGAGACCCACAAGTGCTTCCCACAAGCCTCGACGATTGCCGCCTTTTGCCCAAGCAGAGGGTCGATGTAGGCCAATCACCATTCCTGCCCTCAAAGCTGAGCCGGTGAAGATGTAGTCGGCAACTGGATCAAGTTTAAGTAGCTGCCGCGTGAAATTGATCAGCGCCCACATGCGAACCGTGTCAATGTCGAACTCGCGCAGATCCATTGCAGTGGAAGGCGCAGAAGCAGCGAGATCAAGCCAGCCGAGTGCGACGTCTTGCGTGACGACTTGTCGTTGTTCCGGAAGGGTGGCATTTCCCAAAGCGAGGACCATGAGCGCCTCCATGACGAAGCAAATCTTCACACTCCGCGGATCTTCCAACATGGCGTTGAAGGCGATCTCGAAGGTCGGACGATACAAAATCGGACAGACCTTGTTGAATGTGTCGAAGTATCGTTCCAACAAAAGCCCCGCGGTCTCTTTCGATGGAATCTCGTCGTAGATATTTGCAGATGCCTGTCCCTGAATGTGCTGGGCATGTCGTTCATGACTTCGACCAGGATTTACGGAAATTTCCTGACCATCGTAGGCACCACTTTCAGCCGCTCGGAGCGGATCCGGGGATTGGGTTGCAGGTGCATCGTCTTGGGCGAATGCGAGAAGTGGTTTGAAGGGGCCCAGGTAAAAGGAGTAGTGACTGCGACCTCGTGTGGGGAATTCCGTCGTCCAGACATGGAGCAATTCTGATGATGAGGAGCGTTGGGTTTGCGGCACAGCTGGACTGGCGGATGGAGGGGCATGGATATAAATTCGGGCCGGATCGAGCCGCGACTCAGCAGACGTTGAAGTTTCGACGTGATGTGGCTGTGGCGGCGAGTCGATGCGTACTGGTAAGCCATCTGGGTACTGGCAATCGTGCTCTCGGTGATGCCGGACACATTGATCGCATGGTTTCTGGGTAGAAATCGATTAGCATGCCGCCTCGAAATGGAGAGCATCGATCGCTCGTACCTGCTGATTGCATTTCACCTTGCGTTGATGGCACGGGGCACAAGTTGTGCGTGGCCGTGGTCGTCGCTGGCGCTTGCGCTTGCGCTGGGGTAGTTCGATATCGTCCATTCCGCGAGCGAGAGGAGGTGCATCGGGTCGAGAAAGCTCTGCAGCGTGGTCGGCCGGCGGCAAATTTCTCTTCGGCGCCGAGCTCTTGGCAATGTTATGCTTGATACTGGATGCTATCCCGGAGAAGCGCCAATCGACAAGGCCGAGACAAAGATTGGAAAAGTCGAAAGGAAAGAAGCTGCCGGTAAAAAACTGTCCATCATCATCGCGACATAAAATGCTTGTCCTGTCACCTCAAAGCTTCCCAGAACTTCGCCATCGTTGAATGCCATCGCTACTACTCTGACCACTCCGATCTCTCGACACTTCTCTCGCCCGAACATTGGGCATCTGGCCTTCATGCTCCATCCCGATCGAATCTTCTTCCTCAGCCTTCTTACCTCCCGCAGCGCGCTCGTCGAAGAAAGCTGCCGAACACCCCGCGAGCTCGAGAGGGCTGGAAGATGCGCCCTGCACGAGACCAATGCCGGCACTATGCGTAAGACTGATCAAAGTCAAGAAAAGTCCAACGCCGACTGTAGTAGCCATCTTGATGCTGTGCGGGATCGCTCTTGCGAGCCATTGTCGAAGGCCTAGGATGGTCAAGGCAACGAAAATGAAGCCCTCGGCAAAGACAGCCGTGAGGGCGGTGGTGTAGGGGATGTACCACCGACGTTGAAAGCACAGGATGCATTCAAGCCCATTCCAGGCGCCACGGCGATTGGCGTTGACCGAGATGATGCAGCCCATGGCAAAGAAGGTAGCCAGACCGGCCCGGATCTCGGTGAAGAAGCATGTGCCTTTTCTCTCCTTGGGCCATGCCCATTTTGCCCGTGTTGTGCGAATACATGTCCGCTGCCTTCAAGCCGGAAGTAGAATAGCGGCCGACGCCGCATTGGCTTTGTGGACCCACGCTGAATAGCCCATATTTCCAGTCTCTGTTCCGTTCCCTATGCTTTGATATATGCGAAATCGTGCGTGCCCAATTTTTCGGGGCGGATGGATCTTCGCGCCCGGGTACACGCCAAGCTCGAGCACTGATCATTCGCACGCAAGCGTGACACCAAGCGAAGCATTTTACGTGCTTGGCTGCGTCGACCATTTCGGTAGGAGAACGCAGAGACATGCTGCAGTCAGACCGACAGAACTTTGACCTTCTGAACTCGACGCCGCCGAGAAACTCCCGACTTTGAGGTAAGCTGAGGAAAGAAGATGTCACTCGCCGCCGTGATGGAAACGCACAGTACTCCACAACTTGAATCCGCGCCCATTCAGGATCTGCGAGGGCGCTCGAATGTGGATATGCACAGCAGAGCAGTCAAGGCTGGTTTGCTACAAGCTCTCGGACTCAGTCTAGCGGGTGAAATTCATCGAAAGCTTGAGATTGGGAAGAATGAGCACGTGCTCACTGGCGGATATTCATTACAGACGCAGGTATGAGGATCTAAATCGCCACAGCGATTCTGTTCGTCTGGTACTTCCTGGTATTCGGAATGCACAGAGAGCAGATCATGGCACAGCTTCCGAATGCAATCGAAGTGTACCTGTTGACCACGTTAGTCCGAGTTCATGCTTCATCAGGCACGGTAACACTCACCAGACGAGATGTAGTGCATTGGCGTATGCCCATTGAACACCAGTCGTAGCCGCCGCGATGACTTGCGGTGTGATTCCGGGAACTTGAGCGAGTGCTTCAGCGGTGGGTGTCGTCAAAAAGGTGCCAACGAAGAGCTCCGCGCTGGTCAATGGCAGCCCAGCTTTTACAGCATACTCGCCGACAAGCTTTGGCAGCTCGGTTTTGAGCTTGTCAGTGAAGACGGAGTAGTAGATGCTGTATCCAATGGCTCCACCAACAGCTCGCACGGACAGAGAGAGAGCAGCGCAAGTCGTGATGAGCGCATCCGGACAAGCGATCATAGCCACCGTGGCTGCCGGCACAATCACGCCGCCCAGACCAAATGCTGAGAACGACGCCAGCGTGACGCTCTGGTATTGATTGGTGGGATCCATGCTTGCAAGAGAGCCTCCGAAAGCTGTGAGCATGACTGACGCAGCGAACAAGATGTAGTTGCAGTTCGCAGGGAAGTATGATAGCAAGCCGCACTGATGCCATCGTCAGTAATCTGAACGGTGTGGAAGGCACATCGGAACACGAACCCAAAATATCGCTCCAACAGCCGTTGATAATCCCACAGGCAAGCCACGGTAGCCAATTGCGATTGGGGACGGATCCCAAACCGAGCGGATCGTCAATGGCCAAAAGTTGAGCAAGCTGAAGAAGTTCATGCCGGCGACGAAGGCAACGGCAAAGGAGAAGCCAACGACCCGCTGGCCGAGGAAGAGTTCTTTGGGAACCATGGGGTGCTTGGCAAACTTCCACTCCCACACGAACCAGGCGAGGAGAAGAGCGATGCCGAAGAGGAGATTGCACAGCACGTACACCGACTTCCAAGGATGATTGTAGCCGCCTGCCTGCAAAGCAACGAGGAGGAGCGTGAGACCGGTAATGGAAAGGAAGCCTCCAACGTAGTCAATCCGCTTGAGAACTTGCTTGAATCGCATGCCCTCAGCACGAACGTGTGCGCGAGGGAAGTAGAAAATGGCCAATCCAACAAGAGTGATTGCGTTGTAGATCAACGAGATCCACGAGCCCCAGCGCCAAGTCCGGTTCGATCCACGAGTGGTGAAGAGCTCAGTATACATGACATAAGGGCAAAAGGGCAAGACAAAGGCAGTCAAGACGGCCAAAGAATAGCCTCTCTGCTTGACGGGCACAATTTCCGAAAGACCAGCGAGACCCGTGAGCTCGCCAACGCCGGCACCAGCGCCCGCGAGAGCCATGCCGGAAAGTGCTTGGTCCAGGTTATGAGCGGTTCCGAGCAGGATGCAGCCCACGACCAGTAGCGTCGCACCAAACAGGGCGATATATCGCTTGCCGAAAAGATCTTGAAGATAGCCTACGAAGGGGGCTACAGCGGCGATGGAGAGAGTGTTGGCTACCGGAAGCCAACCGATGACATCTGCTGCATCAATATCCTCTGCAATCAAGCTGAGTGAAGCGCCTGTGAAGTAAAGAGGAAGTTGAGATCCTAGGGAAGAATTAGCAGGCGTCATGCTCCAAGCGGAAATTTCAGACTGACCAGTATACAACATGGCGAGGAAAGCACAAACCAGGAGGCGTTTCACAGTCCATCCTACTTTGCCGTCCGAGTCGTCGCCTTTGAATGCCTGATGATTTTCGAGATCGACCGCGGCCAGGAGGGTCTCATTTGTTTCGGTCTTCTCGAGTGGGTTGTGATATTGAGCGGTTGGAGTGGCTGCTTCTGAAGGGAGAGTCTCCACACGCTCGAGCTCGCCTTTCTTGTGGTGATCAGGCATGACTGTGATTTCCTCGGGCAAGGTGGAAGGGATCAAGAGGTAGGACGAGGTGTGCACAGCAGTGCGGCAGAGAGTTGGGCAGGGACCTATATGCTCACAGCAATTCAATCTAGCCTCTTGCCCGCAAGAGGGGAACGTGTCGGTGCAAACAGCACTAGGTCATATACAGGTCGTTCACCTTTGATGATCTGTCGACAGGCTCGAGTCAACTTTTGAGCGTGCTAGAGCGCCGCGCGCGGCATTCTTCCTGTGCGGCGAGTGAAGGCTCCCAGCTCAAACCAACAGCAAAGCACGGACACGGCAGACAGATGCTCTAGCAGATCCTTGTCTGCATGCCGCGTGCAGAACATGGTGGCGAGCAGACATAGGCGAGTGGATCGCGCGAAGGAGGGATAGTCGGCGCGTGTTGGTGAGGTACACCGATTTTGTATCCAGAGCACGTCCAATGGGAGAGTTGAGGCTGTATGGTATCTGGGGGTCTAGTCATGCGCCATGTGCGGAGAAAGAAGCTGGGGTGCAGGAGGCGTTCGCATGGCTCGCAATTCCTGGCTGTTCCGTCGACCGCCAGGCTCTTCTGGGTCTCTGGTGGCCACTGGCCAGACCAGGTGAGCCTCGAAGGGACAAGTTCCGTGAGTAGGTGTGACGGCTGGAAGTAATGGCTCGGCAGAGGGTGAAAGTAGTATGGTACCACATAGCGGCATTTCTCGCGCATGTCTCGGGCTGGAGGGACCAAAGCCTCTTCCAGCAGATCCAGGGTTGGACGGCGAACGGCGAGCGGCGAGGAGGCCATATACATAAATTTGCTACATTGCGTGAGGACCGGATAGAGGTCCTGCGCGGGGCTGGGATGGTGAGCAAGCTGCGGAGTGCGGACATGGGCCATGGCCACGGAGTTGGAGTTGGTACAGATGTTCATCCGCTCAGGCTGAAACGAGACGGATGCCTCAGTAGTCTGATCGTGCACATATGAAATCACGATTCCAGGTCGCTGTCGTTACCAGAAGCAGGAGCAGGAGCACGCAAGCACGCAAGCAAGCAAGAAGCTAAGAAGTTGCCTTGAAGTTGGCGGCTTGCGCGCTTGCCAAGCATTGGAAGCATGACTCCCTCGGCTGTTCAACTTTCACAACACTCTATCGACACCGCCCTCGCCGTTTCCACTCTTCGCGACATGTCTATCAGCATCCGCCATGTTGTACATCCTATTCGACATGCTAGCTTACATGTTGAGCAGATCTCAGCCCATGCCAGAAACACGCCCTGATGCTCAAACGTCACCGACAACACGATGCCGCTTCCTAGAGCTGCCTGCCGAGTTGCGCAACCACATCTATTGCTTCGTAGCAAACGGACACCTCATGGATGATCTGTGGAACAACCAGCCAGGCTTGCTACACATGCGGAATCGGCAGATCCGCGAAGAATTTGCTGATATCTGGTACAACAAAATCATGGTAGCTCAGTACTACGACCTCAAAGAGTCTGCGTGGAAAGAAGCGCCGGATGGCATTGTGAAAATCGTGCTCGACAGTCAACAAGATGGAGGCGATGGAGTCTGGATTGATGGTAGTCGTGGTGAGCAGGCGTGCAGAGGCGTCTTCAGCGACAGACTCAAGACCCGTCAAGATAGTGTAGAGCAGGCGCAGGCAGATGCGGAATTTGACCGCGATTGGAATGGCGAATACCCTGTCAGCTATCTCGCCAACATCGTACTCGAACTCAATGGTCGAGGTTGGAACGGAGGCATCAACTGCACAAACGCTCAAATTAATGCAGCTATGATTTCGGGAGAGAAGCAGCGGACATTGAAGAAGTGGTTTATCGAGAACAAGCTGACCTGATTCACAACTACGACGCTGGAAAGGACCACTCAACACGGACTTGGCTTCCTGTGCCACTCGATGCGCAGCGGAGTCAAGACAGGCACGGAAGACGGGAGAGCTCTTCCAGGTGAGGCTCTTTGCAAGCTCTCGGCCTCGACTCGATGTGAAGGACTCGACTGTGCTCTGCTTGCGGAAACCAGGGTGGAATATATGCATGTGAGGGGACTGTAACAAGCTCCAGTTCACATTACTCAGCTCTAGAACAACTCCAAGACTCTGCAGTCGCTTGGCACGGCGGATCAGTCTGTTGCTCTCTCAATTCTCAGAAGTCAGCTCAGCTTCAGCTCAGAAGTGAGAAGCTTTGGGCAGCTCACATGATCGCGCGACTGCCCGCGAACCCTATCTGGTGACGTAATCACCGACGCGACCTTGCATCTTCATCACAGTAGGAGAACTTCGCGCTTCTATATCACCACCACAAGCCCAATGGGCGTCGATCATGATAGCGCACATGCGCAACACGGGGAACACTATCCATATGGCACAGCGATGAGCAGTTCCTATGCTTCTGCTTCATACCCGTCTGTGCCCGCGCCGCCAGCCAGCCAGCATTCAAAACCGCGTTGTGGCCAGCACCAGCGCGACGCACCTATCGACGTGACCGAAGACACGAGAAAGAAGCGCAAAGGAAAACGGAAGAGCGCAGGGGTAGATGATGAAGATAATGGCGATGGGAAGTCTGCTAAGAAGAAGGCCAAGTCCAAAGATGAGGAGAAGCGACTCAAGCGCTGGCGACCTCGTGCCCCAAATGCTTATCACGAGATTCGCAGTCGTGCCTTGACTCAACGCATGTTTGTCATTGACAGGCAGCGGCATCCACCTGATGACAATGTTGAAGAGAGCCAACGCCACCCGACCGAAACCCTGTCCATTGCCGGCACAACAGGCAATATCTACACCATTGTCATCGACAAGAAGCCTACGTGCGACTGTCCACACGCGAAGAAGGGAAACCAATGCAAACATGTCATCTATGCTCTCGCTCGTGTACTTCGCGTGCGCGCCGACTTGGAATATCAGCTCGCGTTCATCTCCTCAGAGCTACGCGAGATCTTCGAGAAAGCACCTCCACTGCCTACCGCGACCGGCGATGAAACAGCGAAAGACGGCAATCGCAAACCTGTTGAAGGCGAATGTCCGATCTGCTGCGTCGACTTCGAGCCAGAGAACGCCAAAGAAGAGATCGTGTACTGCAAAGCGGCGTGCGGCAACAACATACACAAGGAGTGCTTTGCGCAGTGGGCTGCGACGAAGACGAATGGCAATGTCACATGCCCGTTTTGTCGCACGCCTTGGGAGAGCGATGAGGATACCGTCAAGACAGTCGCGAAGACTGGACAAAAGAATGCTGAAGGCTATGTCAACGTCGCTGGACAGCTTGGGTTGAGTGGTCGGCGGGATTACTCCACGTACAATGAGTTCTGGCTGCGGCGCCAAGGACGGTATTATGACGACTATTGAAGTGCAGTGGCGCATGAAGTTACGAAGAGATGACTTGGTGTGATTCAGATCTCGATGCATGTTCGAACCCGAGCTGCAGGAATTGTGTGTTTTGGGAAGACTTTGCAATATTTGAAGCCAGCCCATGGAACTTGTATCTGCCTCTATATGGACCTCACAATGCCAGCTCTAATTCCGACTTCACTCCTTCGACACGACCAGGTAGACTGCCTCCCACCGCCGCTCCTATCTTGCACCCTGTTGGAACTGCCCCCCTATACCGACGAGATCCTGCGAGACCGTGTGTTCCCCGTAGCTCGATCTCGATCCATTCTCCCTGCCTTGAGTCCTATCGCTCCCACATATTGCCGCAATACACCTGTCGCGGCAACGTTGATTCGTTCGGTAATGGAGTTCCAGTTGATCCGATCGAACTTTTTTCCCGGCAGCCCACACATTCGACTTCAACGACGGCAGACGAGCTCATGAGTCTCGTCTTGCGTGAAGAGCCCATGTTTGCATCTGAGTCTATCAGCAACTTTGATATTTACAGGCACTGTCTGTCTACTACGTACCACAAGTGGCAGGATGTTTCGTAGTGAAGTAAGGTCTGTGGCAACGATGATTATGCTTTCAATACTTTTGATGATGATGATGCTCCCATTGTCCCATTTTATATGTTATTGAATGCCGCTCCATGTCGAACAAGTTCTCTCTGGTGGTGCAAGAGTGCGCTGGCTTTTTTTTGTTCTGATGCTGAGGTCTTGCAAGATAGATTATCACATGCTTCCTGTTCTACAGCTCGAATGGCTTCCAGCACCGCCAAAATAGCCTGGCGTCGCCATTCAAACGTACGCTTCCCTTCCTACGGCCTTTCTGTTGGCTGCTTGAGAACGGTTTCTTACTTTAATGTCTTGTGAATTGCCTTAATGTAGCTCCGCTATGTGCACAGAGTGCAGGGATTCAAAACATCTCGTCGTGGCTGTTATGAGTAAGCGAGAGCTGAGCCGTTGCGCGTCACTTGAGGTTGCATTCGATCAATTATGACATTACCTCCTACACTGGACTCCACCTCTTCCATAGTAAGACCTGGTGAAATGCCTCCGTCCTCACAATGCCTCCGCTCGCAGTTCTGCTCCCGCTGATAACGCTGCTTAAACCGTCTTCAGCCCAAGGGCCACCATTGCCACGGAATTCAAACCTTACAGGCACGAACTTCCTTGACCACGACGCACCGATCGCAAGCTATTTTGGAAAGTCTTTTCTGAAAGAGAACATTCCTTTCATCGACCTTCCCGACAAGACGATCGAAGATGTCTACTACTACAGATTCACGGCACTCCAACGACATCTACTTTACGCCACCGCTGGGACAGGATACGTGATTACTGAATTCTACAGCGGTTCTGTAGGTTATGCAGGTGCATTCAGTACCATCAATGCTGCAGCTGGACATCAGCTCGAGGAAGCACGTTGGCTCCGAAGTACTTGGTATTCTGAAGACTTTACCCAGATATGGACGCGAGGGCCTGGATACTCCAATCAATACACACAATGGATCCAGTACGCTGCTGTAGGTGCTGCGAATGTGACTGGCAATACTGCTTTTATAGAAAGCCAACTGGATGGCCTGCTGCGAATGTGGCATGAATGGGACGGTGTCTTTGACTCGCCCGTTGGACTTTACTACTACACGCCCGAGTTTGATGCTCAGGAGCACAGTCTGCCAGGATATATCGCCGATGCCGCGCTTGGCGGTGGCAATCCGGAAAATATCATTTATCATGGCCCGAATACATATCGTCCAAGTCATAATGCCTATATGGTCGCCAACGCGGAAGCCATTGCAACTGTGGCAAATGCGGTCGGCAATGTCTCGCTGGCACAGGAGTATACTCAGAAAGCAGATGCTTTGAAGCAATCTATGATCTCGCAATTGTGGAACACATCGCAAGCCTTTTTTGTCGATAATATTAAATCGGGCGAGCCTGGTGCAGGACAGGTCGATGGCAGAGAAGAGGTTGGCTTCTTTCCCTTCCGCTTTGGAATAGCACTTTCTGAAAATTACACTAATTCTACTATCCGTGCACTTTACGACAAGGATATCTTCAACACGACGTATGCACCGCCGACCCTTGAAGTGCACAACCCATACTTCAATGCAACGATTTCAGGATGCTGCTGGTGGAATGGACAAAACTGGCCGTATTCGACAGCCCACACGATCCAATCGCTCGCGGCGATCTATCGTGTAGGCGGTCTGACAGCAAATCAATATATTGACTCGCTGCACAACTTTGCCGTGACTCAGTACAAGGGCGGAAAGCCGTATGTCGCAGAATCACATTATCCTGAGAAGGACGCTTGGTCTCAAGACTCACCGAATCATTCCGAGCATTACATGCATTCGACCTATGTCAACAACGTCATCACGGGCGTTATTGGTATCGTTCCTCGTGCTGACAACGTTCTTGAGCTTAGTCCAATCGTTCCCGACGACTGGTCATATTTCGCACTAGAGAATGTGGCATATCATGGCATGCTTCTGACGATTTTATACGACAAGGAAGGAACGAAATACCAGAATGGATCAGGCCTGACTGTCTTTGCGAACAGCAGGAAGATCTACAATGGGCCAGATCTGAAAGCAAACATCCCACTCCCGGACAGCAGCGCAGATGTAGATGACTCTCCAATTGATGTCAACATCGCCGCGAATCCACTCGGCAACGACGGTTGGCCGAAAGCCTCCGCGACATTCACATGGCAGTACGACGACGTCAACCAAGCCAACGACGGCGCTCTATACTACGACGAGGTCCCAACAAATCGATGGTCGAACTATCAAGAAACTCCCAATCCAAGCGACACTCTCACCATCGCCCTACAGCGACCACGCAATGTCACAGGCGTTGTCCTCGCCATCTTCGACGACACAAAGCAAAAAGAAAACGGCGCCGTCGCAGTCCCCGCAGCCATCGAGATCACCGACGGCGCAGGCAAACTCCTCGCCAAAGATCCCGTCTTCACCTCTCACGCGGTCGCGAATGATATCAATATTATCTCCTTCAACGGAACCCACGAAATCTACACTCTCAACATAAACTTCACCGGCCAACCCAACAAAGCCGTCGGAATCAGCGAACTCCAACTCTGGGTTCCCCCAAATCTCGGACCTTTCTATTACGCTGCAGACGCATTACCCAATCCTGCTGCTGTCATCGCTTTTGATCCCGACTCCAAAGCTACCCCGAATGGGACCGTGATTTGTACCAAGAATCGCACGTCGGAGATTGCGTTTTCGGGAATTTATGCTGCGAAAGACGGGGGTGTTGATGCTAAGCTCAGTTATAAGAATTCCGGAACGAGGGATGTGCGGGTGGATGTGACTGTTAATAGGATTTTGAGTCGTACTGTTAGTTTGCCTGCTACGGGGAATGTCTATGGGAGTGTGGATTTGAAGCTTAGGCTGTGGCGAGGGAGGAATTTTTTGGGGTTGAGAGGGGGTGGGGAGGGGGTTTGTGTTGAGGGGATAGAGATTCGTTGATTGATGATTTGTCTTAGTGTTGTAGGTCTTTGCAAGAGGAGTAGATTGGAGAGAGGATAAGTCGGAGGAGCTTGCAGTGGTGTTTATTGGCTCGGTACAGACGGGCACTAGCTGCGGACCCCTGGCTTCCCGTGTCTGTAATTTCTATACTAATGTATAGGAACGTCTCGTCCTTTATACCTTTCGTTACGACTACTAACGATAGGAACGCTTCGCGATTAATAAGTCGAATCTACCCGATCTGGTATTCTGGATAGTGCCATAACGCTACGAACATCTGGCGACAAGATGCTTCACCAGAAGTCGACGCTGCTTGGCATGGCATTTCAAAGTCAAATCCTCTTCTGCTTAGTAGCAGAGAGGATATCGGAAAGCTTGGCAAGAGTGTCCAAGGCTCGGTACAGTGGCCGTACTGTAATGAAGAAATACACGTCGGCAAAATGAATGGTTTCCACCTTCTCCGCTGTCTGAACGCCATTCGCCAGACGGTATTCAGCGAGTATTACTGGTGAGTTGGAAAAGTCATATGGACTCTGATCGCCGCTGATGAATTCTGCAGGCCCAACGGAACAACTTATCCAGGCCACTTGCCACACATCCGACATCGCATTGACATCCTGAGACGGGAATTGATGTGCACGTTCTCCTTGGATGTCCACACTTTGGTGTGGGTTGAGCATTACAGTACTCCGATGGCAGATTTCATGCTACAACGTCAATGTCGTCGATGGGATGACATTGTGCGGTGGAAAGAGTCACATTAGATGAGCGATAACGGTAATGAGAGGGTTGATAGGCTTCACAGACCTCATGGAGTGTATGAGAATCCTCTTCCTGAAGGGGCTGCTGAATTGCTGGATCGGACGGCGGTGTGGTTGAGGCTCAACTATATAGATTGAGCACAAGATCGTGTTTGCTTTTTCCATCCTTTCTACGTGGTTCTATGCATCCGTGGACGATGCGGTAGCCGAACGTGGTCCTATGGGAATGTTAAGTCAGGTTGTGCTTCGTTTGTCGCTGCGTGATATCCCCCGAGCAGTTGCAGGGATGCTGGGTCGTGCGGAGCCGGTGCGTGACACTGGACGGAGCTCCATACATACCAGAGGCTCAATGCAGACTTTGTACTGCAGTTTTTGCCCCTACAAATTGTTTTTAATATATCTTTTTATCTAGAGGACTTATAGCTAAACAATATAGGACAAGGATACTCTAATCTAGGTCCATTTTTAGAAAAAATTAAAATTTTTAGTCGTTACCTACTAAATTAATAAGCTACATAGCCTAAAACTCTAAGTTAGACATTTTAGGATTTAAGCGTTTTTTTAATCCTTAGTATACTATTTTTATTAATATAAAGTCTAGGTCTTATAGCTATACTTTATAAGACTCTATATTAAGGTTTCTATCTTAATATAGCTACTATTAGTATAGGCGGGACGAGTAGGTCGTAGGTAGAGGTATATATATAGGGAACTGTATACTATAGGCCGGGTACTTAGTAAACTGCGAGGGGTCGGCGTAGTATTATATACTTCGAAGGGAAGGCGTTATAAATATTAAAGAAAAGGGAATAGCCGTAGGGAGGGCTATATTGTAGCTAGATTAGGTACATTTCCTATATCTCTTCTACTAAGTATTGTCGTAGCTATGTCTCCTTATATCGTGTGTTTTCTAATTATAAAGATAGTTGTATATATTCGGGGTACAAAAACAGGGGAAGAGGGTATAAGTAGGTATACCTATACTAAGCTAGGTTTCCCTACTATATTTTCCCTCCCGGACTAAGAAGTCTACCCTTAGACTAACGCTTCCTTACCTCCCGGACTGAAAAGCCTTAAATACGCAAAGGAAAACTAAACTAACTATCCTATAACGGTATCCTAGCTAGCTAGCTACTATACCCTATTACTTATTTCTTTCTACTACGAGTCGCTAGTCTACTATAGTTACCTCTACGGCCCTACTAGTTAAATTAGTCGATAAGAGCCTAGGTCCGCGTCGCCTTAGCCTATATGTCCTAGCGGGTCTATCGCTTATTCGGATTAGCTATAGGGTTCGTAGGCTGTTTTAAAGAAGATAGCTAAGGAGGCTGTTTCTTAGGGGTACTAAGCTGCTAGGAGTTAACGTTCGGGAGTATTCTACTAGGAGTAGAGACTTTCGAAGCGTAGGTAGCAGGTTTCGCTAAAGGGGCGCTAGACTACCGCTAGTTAGTAGGAAGGTCTGCCTTACTAGGTTCCTATTAGTATATAAATCCCTAGCCTCCCTAATTAAACTCCTCCCTAGCGTTAGGCGTAGGCTAATATCGGTAGAAATTATCCTAGTTTAGGCGTATATACCGATCTCTACTATTGTTTAGGATGCAACTCTAGTCTTTTAAAGACTATATAAGGGCCTTAAAGAATAATTTCTCCCCGAAACGTTCCTACTCGAGGCGAATAACCTCACTTAATATCTTAGAGTATGCCGACGCTATATCCTTGTAATACTACTTTAAATAGTTCTCGAGTATATATAAGGAGCCTTCTTAGTTAAGGTTGCGAAAGAGTCTTCGAATATATTACTATACTATAGTATCGTCCTACTTTAATTAACCGACGAGAGCTTCCGAGATTAGGTTGTTATTGCGTAGGCGTACTATAGCCGGGAACGCGTACGGAGGGGCACCGTACTTGTTTATAAAACTAGAGGGCGAGGTAGGGCTAGGAAGAAGGTCTCGATAGGTAGCGGCGAGTTCCTAAAACGTACCTCTAGCTTCGCAATCGAGCTTTCTAGTTACTAAGTTGTATCGGTAGAACTAGGGGAGTATAGTTATCCTCTTAGTATTCTTCGGTAATGCCTAAGCGCCGTATAGAAGGTAGGGAAGGGTTAGGCGTACTCTAAGGGCACCGACCGGGTGCTACTCCTAGCCTACATTTCGATACTTGCCTTTTAGCTCGTTCTTAATAAAGTTATTAAGGGTATTCTCTATCTTAGTATTTAGGCAATGTGTATTATAGTTAATAGAGAGAATGTAACCCCGAGGGGCGTACGTAGGGCCCTTTTCCTAGCGAAGGGTCTTAAGTTCCTTATACTATTTATTAAAGACTTCTAGTTAGTAGATCCTAGCGAAGACCTTCGTAGTAGTCTCTACCGTTTTAGGAAGGAAGGATACGGAGCCTTAAACTTAGTTTATAGTAATGCCTTCTTAGAGATCGAGAGGGTGCTAGTTAATATAGGCAAACTCGGTCGAACCGCCGTTACTAGGTTGAGTTATCTTAGCGTAGTACGGGTAGGAGATTAGGTTAAGAGCGTAATTAGGGCGGGTAAGGCCGTAGAGGAGCTAGTAGACAGGGTCTCCTCGGCAGATCTGCTAGAACCTAGAATAGAAGGCGGTTCGAAGCTAACCCTTATTCGAGACTCCGTTAACTAAACGCTAATGCTAAAGGTATATTGCAGCCTCTAGCTTAAACTAGTTAGAGAGGGATATCTTTCCGAAGGGTAGAGGGGCCGCGGCGACTTCGACTTTCTTATTATTATACTAACTAAAGACGGCCGCTCTATATAGTTTAGTAGAGCCTTTGTCGCTCGTAATGCTATCTAAGGTAACAGTACTATCTCTTGCCTAGGCATCCTAGCTAGCCTTTGTTATTACTCCTATACGGGAGAAGGCCTTGCGAATCTTAGTAGCAATCGCTAGGGTAACGCGTTTAATAGTTAAAGGGTTGTATATCTTGCTCTCGTAACTATAGGCCTTAGGGAAAAAGCGATATAGTCTAAGGTAGTCGCTAGGGATAGGAGGACGGCGAGTCTTCCGAAATAGGTTAGGTCTCTTAGTTCGAAGGCGGAGAAGGTCGTTCCGGTACTTATATCTAGGGCTACTTAAGGTTTCTATTATCTGCTCTCGACCGACCTTTCCTCGAAACCTAACTACTATCCTAAATAGGTAGCGGGTATAAGTATAGTAAGGCGGGTAAGGGGCAGTTACAATAAGGGCAATTGCTCTTCCCTATATAGCGTTATTAGATTTACTATCGTACTATATTAAAGCACTACGGTCGGCTTCCGAGAATCTATTGTAGCTATAGTAGGCTAGGCTGTTTCTAATTTAAGTGTCCTTATCGGGGGTTAGTTCCTTATAGTATATAGTGCCTCCCCGCTTAGGTCCTAAGGCATTAAGGTCGTCGGTTAGGTTCTCCTCGAGGGGTACGGTAAGATCTCTACTCGGCTTATTAAGTCTATTCGATCTGCGGGTCCTTCCTAGAGGGGGGATAGGCGTAGTAGTTCGAATTCGACGAGTAGGCGGAGCCCTTAGAGCAAGGCTATTATTACTACTCCTACTACTAGTCCGATCGGGTAGCGAAGAAGAGTTTTCGACTAGGAGATTAGAGCGAGTCGTATTACATTATAGAGGCGTATTTTAGCGAGAGCCGATAGGCTAAGTAGGGCGAGCGGGTAATAGCTACTAGTTGTCCTATCTAGCTAGAGGGTCGCTAGCCGGGTTGTATACAACTAGTAACCTAATAGGTGTGCTAATTCGCTCGTATATACCTATACGGAATCGAGGGATATTAAGCCCTAGGGTCCTAGAAGCAGTGCCTTTAATATAGCTACCTAGCGGTCTCGAAAAAGGGCGCCCGTCGGGAGTAATAGCAATAATAGGAGGGCCTTCGTATTAGCTAATTCGAATACCGATAGCCTTAAGCTTCGCCTTACCGGCCTCCGTTCTCTAGGGGAAGAATTTATTCTTACCCTCCTTACGAGTGTTGTCCTCCTTATCTACTACGCAGTCCTTAGTAGTAATAGTAACGGTATTAATATCTGCCCGTCCCTATCTCGCCCTAAGCGTTCGGCGGTATAGGTAATTGCTTAGGATGCGAAGAATAAGCTAAATTTCGGAAACCTAGCTAGCGTCCTTAAAGTTTGCGTAGTTGTTAAGCTTTCTATCCTTCTATAGCCTAAAGACTCGAGCTATTTCCTTCGCGGTATTACCTCGGACATTATAGAGGTCTAGGTAGTTCCTAAAGAATATAGGACTATTAGTAATATCGTTCTTACGGCGATCTTCCGTAGCCTTCCTACGAGTAGCGGCGGCTTATAGGGTAGTAAATTCGTTACCTATATACTACTCGAGGGCCTATACTATAGTAGATCCTCGGGTACGAAGAACATCTCCTATTTCTTTCGGCAGTCCTTTAAAGAGCGCCTCCTTAAGCCGATAATAGGTTAGCTCGGTGCCTTTAATAAAGTTGTTAACGCTTCCTAGGTTGTCGTAGATTATATCTACTTTAGTTTAGCGGGATAGATTAGCGGATTAAAGATATTATACCTATTCGAGTAGGGTATTGTAATTACTTAGTCGCTAGTCGGAAGGAAGGTAGGAAATGCCGCTATAGGCTACGCTCGTAATAAGGTCTCGACTAGAGGCTTCTACTATTGCGCGCTTGCGAGGCGGTAGAGGGGGTTTTACGTATCGGGTCGCGTAGAGGAGGTAGGGGTTTATCGGTCTTTAATAGTTAATTAAGGAGGGTAGTGTTTACTATAAGCGCCTATCGCTTTATCGAGGGAAGGGCGGTATAGGTATGTTTATTTATAAAGAAGTTTAGGCGCGAGAAAGATCGCCTTTTTATCGTAGTAATAGCGCGGGTACGCGGGAAGGGACAGGAGGCACCTGCCTTACGCGTATACGCGCGTTTGTATATGAATCCGAGAGTAAGGCACGTATCCTAAAGGAAGTAAAGGGTTAGTAGTAGGCAGCGGCGACATTTCTAAAGGCCTAGGTAATTCG